TATTTTGTTTCTGTAATTTTATTGTGAGCGTGACGTCATCCACGTGTCTTTTGGTTTTTATTCATTTTGTGAATCCAGAATGTATGGTCCCAGAAGTAACATTTATTTCAGATGGAGAACGCGCATATTTAATCTTTTTCATTTCAAGACTGACTTTACTGACATATCATTTGTTTTTAACTAAAATTGTTACACAGCTTTAAAAATACCTATTTCCTTGGTGTAAAGCTATAAGTTCAATTATTAATAGGGAAATGCAATTTCATTATTTATCGTATTTTTTATTGATCAAAAATTACGTAAATAAGGTAAACTGATATAAAAAAAAATATTTATTTTATATTCATTTTTATATTAACAGAAAACCCTCAGCTGTAAGAACATTACTTGACAAAACATTTATGAAACCATTAAAAATTATGCATATGCGACCATAATTTTAATTTAAAACTATTTGCAGATCTTTTTCATGGTCGTACGCAAAAAGTTTCATATTTTTAATTTCAATACAGGCTCCATCAAAGCTCCTAAGAAACTCAATAAAATCCCTTTTACAGTACTTTGGAATGTTCCCGTTACAAACTTTTTCCTCTTAAATAGAGGAACGAATTCTTTTTTCGGGTTACGGTCGAGATCTTTCAATTTGTGACTTTTAGTTGCTTTGAAAGGAACTTTTGCAGAATTCATAATTACTTTATTTGAAACCGAAAAGTTTTTCTTTTAGCATCAGTTAATAGGCGTCCATTTTTTCGTAAGTTCTGTTAAAATTGAAGGTCTAGGTCACGGTGGAGCATACGGTGGCAGTGTGCCTTGCTTGGGCTGACCACCACCTTGTCATCGCCGTGACTTCAGAGACGTGATTGGTGGCGGTGACCTCTTGCGTCTGGCCTTAGTCGAGGCCATGGTGCGGAGCGAGAGGAACTGGGCAGCCATCTCCTCTTTCTGCGAAATAGTGATGCTCGCAAAAGATCAAGCGAAGCGCGTGAGGAAACCATTCTCCTCAATCCCCAGACGTTGTAATAGGCGACTCTCTGGACGTCACTATAAGCGCGGGTCTGCGGACCGCGAGCAACGGTGGCTCGCCGCCCGATCTGTACCAGGCCCAAGCATACGGCTCATAGCGTTCCGTGCGCGCCTCAAAGATCGAATAGAACCCTACAGAGCTGATGTTAAGCTGGGGTTGCGACGCATTAATGTACCGCGGTACCCGCATGGAATAGGAGAAGGAACAGGGTGGTTTTGGTACAAATAATATTCCGTCAAACTTTTTTAACTAACAGCTGGTCCCAAAGAAAGTATCAAATTCGATCAAACAAGTTGTCGTTGTCGTAAATAGATAATATAATTATGTTACTTAAGAATAATGTAATTCGATTAGAACTTTTATAATTGGAACGTTGTCAGAAAATGATTAACGGTTACAATGATGATAATATAACAAGTTGATCATTGTTTTACATAGCAACAAAATGAAAGAAAATTGTTACACAACGAAAGTAGTATATTACGAAAGCAATGGTTGACCTTAAGATTCGCTTAAGAAAGCTTTGTGCAGAGAGGAGTGGAAGAAGAGTAGGGAGGCCTTTGCTTAGCAGTGGGACGACAACGGGTCAAAAATAATGAAATTAAATTCATGTTCTATTTTTATCTACATATTTCTATATTATGCTATGGCATGTCATGAACGGGTTGGATTAACTAAGCCCATTATATATATTATGTTTAAGGTTTATTTGGAATAAATGATTTTGACATTATGGCCCTAATATTAAGTCTTCTGGGATGTCCATATTTTGACAGCTCTGACATCGTGAGGAAATTCGGACTTATAATATCTAATAATACGTTTGAAATTTTCAATCCGCCTTGAGCAAGCGTGGCTATTAATGCTCAAACCTTTTTCGTATGAGAGGCAGCAGTCGACACTTATAGGCTGATGATGTGTGTGACGTGTATATCCACGAGCGGTGCTAATTCATAATTGTCCAATAAGTCAAAAGACGAATCTCTTGCTAATCTATTCGATATAAAACGACCACTGTTCCTACTAAAAGGATACCACTTGCCACAAAAGGCAATGTTATCTTTTTCTCTGCCAAAAATATAAGTTGAAATGGATCCAAGATTCGGCAGGGACAGCTCAATAATACATCGAAATATCAGAATATGTATCGAATCTATATCATTACTAACATTATTGGATAAATTGTGTTTCCTATCGGCAATACCACTCAATTGATACGTTAGTGGATACAAAATATTATTATTGAGAACTCTATGCCTTTTATTGCCTAGATTATGTAGCTTTGACATGATATTCATAAGGATTTGTTCATTCTTGTCTACGAGTTATGGAAGTACAAAACAAACTAGACTTTATCGTTATGTTATAAAGTCGAAAATCTATTGAAGCCTTAAAATCTTTAGCCTTTTTTAATTCATTTATTATTTATTTTATTAATAAAAAAAGTGGTTATAGTCTTAGTAGTACTTGAGTTTTTAATATGTAGGTTCAACGAATATCAATGCTTGTTACAATTCGCAGAATAGCACCCAATTTAAAATAAGCTATACTTACTAATAATTTTAATATGAATTTTGGTTGTTATTGTATATACTTAAAAGGGACTCTATTCAATAAGGACCACGTTTATTTTTTGCTCCGTAAATAACTTTAGTCTGGATTTCTCGTCTTTCCATCCAACAGTTAAGTAGTAAACTGTAAAATGATTAATCACAAATTTTTGCTATTTCATATTATAAAAAACTTAGGAGACCAAGCCAAGTAATGCTACTTAGATCCATAGGGACTAGGGTAGTCATTACTTCACGTTGTTTACAAGGACGCAGAAGTTGTTTCTAAGCAAAACTTTACACTCAACAAGATCAGCCATATTTAAATATTAATAACTTGCCAGCTACGCTGAGGACGCCTTTATGAATGACTAATTTTATGGTGAAAACTTAAGACCTAAACTTGAGGTTTAAGCAAAAACACTTTATACTGAAACGTTGAAGACCTTATTTTACTTCAAACACTTGCTTAATTTGTTTATATTTTGCAAAGTTACCTTTCTAATACATTAAAAAGGGTATTGCACTAGCACCTCCTTGGAAATTATGAAAAGAGATTCACTACGAATCCAACAACATAATTACTGGCAGTGCAGAAAACAACAGCTTGAATGAAAACAGTAGCTTCCAATTTTAAATTCAAATAATTCTCTATAAGGAGTCTCGTTATCTTTGTTCTACGATAATCAACCTTCACACGCTTTGTTGAAAGATAGCTTTTTTTCAACGACAACCCCGAACATGGCGTGCTAAGGAAATGCACCGGCTGGGCTTTAGAGAAACTATTGTGAATCACGCGAACTTTAATGGAATTTTACAAACTCACATTAACTGGTAAGGAAGCACTAGAGTTATTTTTAACTTGGGACGTTTTCAGGTATAATAATAGCCACTCTTTGAAGCAGTAAATATGCGGCAATGCGGCAATTTCTATGCAGGTTCTGCCATGAAATATGGTAGGTTTACTGTCGTATAGTATAAGGAAGTATGTGCAATGTGCATGCTCGTTAATTACGTCACGAAGGTAACTTAACGTTTAAATGAATATTTTAAAATTCGAAGCAACTTCAACGTAGAAAAAATAAAACTAGGAACTTAAAAATGTTAGACTGCAAAAAAATGAAACTCCTTAGTCACAATTTGATTGAAAAGTTAATTTTTACAACGTTCAAAAGTGTGAAAAACTATATATACTTACTTATATTTGTATCTTATAAAACCAATAGGTAAAATGTACTTCCAAACGCTAAAAGTCATATAAAATAAAAAAGGATTAAAAGACATGGCGCCGGTGACATGATACAGTTTGCTAACGAGAAAAGTTAAAAAGTGCTCCTCTTTTTGTTTCTCTTTTCGTCTAATTAAATTTCTTCAGAGCAAAGGAGTTCACTTTGCAGCCTTAACGGTAGCTTGCTCAATAAGCCACGGTAAAGGAATTCTTGTTCTTTTTTTCAAATTATTAAGTATTAAATAAGTGATTTATAACCGAAATAACATTAATACCATTTTATTTTATTCCAAAAAACTTTCCTATTTTCTCGTAATTAGGTTCATATTTCAATGACGCGATTTGCAAGGGTTACATCATAGATTATATTTATTTGGGTAGGTCACTCATTTTCAATAGATTTCAAAAAAAGAACGAGTTCGCCGTCCCTCTCTTCTGATGCGGAGTTTTGACATGGCGCGATGCAGTGACGCTGAAATTCAATGGCAGCAAATAATTAAAACTAACGTGATATGAAGGTATTTTGAATTATTTTTAGCTTTTCAGTGTTTTTGTTTTTTTTAGACGATTTAATTTTTTATGATTGTTAAATACTATTAATAGATATTTGTATCAAATAATGTAAGTTTACTATAAGACTCAACCTCGACCTATATGGTGATTTATAAAATACAGGAACGGAATTCTTTTGGTGGTTTCGGCGGCGCAAATTGCTTACCATCAGGTAAACCGTGTGTTCATTTTTTTATTTAACTTTTGCATAATAATATAAGTAAAACACAACATGCTCGTTTGACGCCGTGTGAGAAAAAAAGGTAATTACTTATTTTCGTTTAAGTGATGTTCTTACTGTCTTTAACAGATGAATTCTTATAATTAACATTAAAAGATAAGAGGTTAACGAGCCATAAATACGTAACTATTTAATGGGCACTGGTCGTGACCCCAATCTATTACTATTTTATAGGCTCTGAAGCCTTTATGGAGTATTTACCTTCGTGGGTAGGTTATTACAAAAACAGTTTATAACTTATCGTTAAAGGAGGTGAAGGAACTAACAAAACCTACATGAGTACTTTCTTTTTTTTCATTTCAAAATTCGATCTTGTTTCCGACCAAATTTTTAATACCCCAAATACATATACTTCTGATTTATTTCGTTGCGGTATCGAAGACAGTTATTCAAGTCCCTAGGACTTCAGTGTTCCGGTGTTTTCATGGTTGTATCTACTGTAGATCCTGGCTTACAGGAGTTGCAGCGGTTTTGGGAGGTTGCGGCGGGCTTGTCCCATACACCCCATACTATGATTAGTATGTCACAGGAAAGAAATACTTTTGGACCGAAAATAGATGTACTGAAAAGAAAATAATTAAGTTGCTTAAAATGTTTTTTTTTGCAGTGCAGATAAGTTGCTCTGAACGCCCTTTTTTAATTACGCATCGAGAGTGCAGCTGCTGGAGACGCGCCATAACGCCAATTTCGAAGTTGAACGAGAGCTTCTGGCCACAGGACATGGTTTTCCGTCGCTTCCGCGGACAAGTGCCACAGGAACGCACAACATAGATTTAAGTATTTATAAACTAACAATTTTGTAAAATGTTTATTATGTATTAGTTTATTGGTTTTTTAATTGTTATTTATGTACAGTGTTTATGGGCCTTAGTAGCCTGAAATAAAGAGTTAAATTAAATTAAATTAAATTGAAAATAACATGTTTAGTTTTTGAACAGTAATTAGCTTGTGAAATACTTAATTTATTGACAATAAGGACTTTCTCGCCGGGATTAATTGAAAAAATTTGGACTAGTTTCAAGCCACAACAAGACTCTTATTCAGGAGCAGAGAGCGCGTTGCGGCGACATCGGCTGTGTTTACGGTAATAAGTACTTATTACCATAGTATATTGAGTTTGCCACATCATAGTTACTATTAAAAAAACAAAACATCTTTGTAGACGAATACAGAATAGAACACAAATTCGAAATGCATTTCTAACGAAGAAGAATTATTTCAACTTACAAGTGTAAAAACGTGGCTCACTTTTGAGTGAAAAAGAAAATTCTCAAAGAAAAGGCTACATGACGGATAAAAATCGAGTTCATTTGTTTGAACAGGTAAGTGCTATGTACTTTACAAAAGATACAGAAAGAAAACCTCAAAGGAGTTATTTACAACAGGAATATGGACGCGGTTTTAACTTGGAAAAAAGCAAGCTTCTTGACAGCTCCGTTTTATCTTTCTTTTGTTTCATTTACAAAGGAAAACAACACAGAATAAAAAAGCTTGGTGTAACATTATTTCCAAGCTAGGATCTACGAAGGAGTATTGTATTAAAGATATTTCTTGTGTAAAAACTATCATCCAAACTAATATTATAAATGCGAAAGTAACTCTATCTATCTGTATGTCTGACTGTCTTTTCTTTACGACTAAACTACTGAACCTATTTCTCTGTAATCTAGTACAGACATAGTTTGGAACTCGATAAAGGAAACAAGGTTTTTAAAACAAAAATCTGCAGTAAGTCACTATTCCACGAGAACGAAGTCGCGGACAAAAGCTAGTTAAGTACATAATAAACAATTAGGTATGAACATCAAAATAACTGATTTATCATCAATATTTTAATGTTGTGACAACACTATCCAATAAGCAAAACTCAAAGAGAAAATTGGCAATCAAATCAATCAATGGTTATGGTTCTGTCAATTAATTATATTAGACAAATAAATAGGTATCCTTAAGTTAAAACGATTTATTTCTGGCTAGGAAACATGCGTATGCCTGGTAATTCCGACTTACGAGCCAATTCCAATCATTTGGAAAACATCTAAAGGCGTTACCAACGAAAATAACATGTCAATAAAACTTCATACTGAAGTAAATTAGAAAAAAATACTCTATTTTATTGTTCTACATCAAAAACAGGAAATGCAAACATTAAAAAAAAAGAATTATTTCTCATGAAACCATAAAATGTCGGATAATTGTCCCAACGCTAAATAACTTTGAAGATTGTAATCGCACGACTTCAATTTCAGTTTACAGCCTGAATGAACTTTATGCTATGTACAAAACCATAAAACATTTGTTGATTACAAACTTTTTTTATATTAACGTAAAACTGAAGGCTCGAATGGTAGAAAATGCCTAAATGAATAAGTCTACCATGTACATGCTGTGCATGAACTACTGCATTGGTTCCTGAACAATCACGATGACTAACAATTATCTGCACATAAAACCAACTACATAAAAAAAATCTTTGAAAATTAATAGCATCGACGTCTACCTAATAAACCTGTACGAATGTTTAATGTACCACAAGAAAACTTAACTCTAAAATTACTTCACGCGTAGTATAAAACAAAAGTCGCTATCTCTGTCCCTACATCCCTATGTATGCTTAAATCTATAAGACTAAGCAACGGATTTTAATTACATGAATTAAATAGTGGAGAAAATTTGTACCTATTAGCGAAGCCAGCACGTCGATTCTATAAAATTTGTTTGATCTGAATATTGTTCGAGTGTGAAGTGAGCGTCGAAGTGACGGGGTTACATTATAGAATGCCACTTTATCAATGAAAATGTCGCGGTCAATTTAGTTCAACTCGCAAGTGTAGCGCTAGTGTACTACTACTCACAGCGGATTCAGATTCGAAGTTAAGAATGAAGTCTTACAGAATCGCACTGCAACACGGCGCCGCGGCGGGTCGCTGGTATATGTATATTATATTTGACTACGTGAGGATAAAACATGAAAAATTACAAACATACAAGAAGAGGTGCTCATACTTATCCAATCTTTTTGGGATAGACTTTCTATTTGTCTATTTCCACCAGTCTTTCAGTTCCTATTTTGTAGTAAAATGATGTTATCATCAAAGTATTGTTAAGTTAATTATCCCAATTTTGTGTCAAACACTTACCATTAGTTCGTTGTGGGTCGATTTGAGCGTGTAGGATCGAGAAACCAGGCGCGATGATGGCCGGCAGCGTGCGTGAGCGCAGCAATGGCGGGGGTGCTCGTCGACCACCCCCGCCCAGCGCCTCCGCCGCCGCCGCCGCTGCCGCCGCCGCACTGTGGACAAAAGAATTAACTTTTCAGCAAACGATTTATTAAGTGAGATTGATCCTTCAAATTCAATCAGACAAGGTTGTAGAGTAGTACAGCAAAGCGAAGTGGTTTTTAGTCATTAAGAGTCTGACACTCCATCTTCCATCACCCTCGGTGAGAGATATCGCTTAATTCAAAAAAAGCCTCGCAAATGTAGCCGAGAAGAAATATACATTTTTCAACAGTTGCCTACATTGTATTTTACTTTTAAATTCAGTAGAGGTAGCTAATGCAAGACTAACTACTAACTTTGACGTTCAAAAGTTGTTGAAATAAATGATTTTGATTTTGACTTTGACTTATAACGATTGTGATGACAAATAAATATATCTATCAATTCAATGTAAAAAGGCACCTATATACGTTCAATTCAAGGTAAATTGATTTTTAAAATTAATAGATTTTTTTAATCTGTTGCCTGCATACTAATATTTCTACTAGTACTACACGCTACCTAATGTTCACTACATTTAGGTCGTATATCCCGAAACAGTTTGCTGAAAATTCTACTTCAAAACATTGGTAGTTGTAACTGGTAGAAGTTTTTAACTAACTAGTGGTGCCAGCGGCGGATATGAATTGAACTAAAGCACTACAAAAACGACATGCTCGATTTTGACCAAACAGTCTGCCAGGAAACTTGTGAACTGCCATTCCAACAAAATTCAATAATTGAAATTTAGATTTCCGTATTGGTATGTTGCTGCTGGTAATTGGTTATCTAAAAATAATAAAAGTAATAGAATTCAAATAGATATAATTTTGGAAGGATGTTATTAGCATAAAGTACATTCATTAGCAAAACTAATTTATTTGGGCAATTTTCTGAGTATTTTCCATATAAGAATCGATGCGGGTGATTTTTTCGATGCAATATATAGGTATATAATTATTTTTAATATAAGTATATTGTGTACCTACTTTAGTAAAATACACAATTAATTTTAAAATTAAAAACACTTCAAAGTCCAATCCATTAAGTACTAAACAACATAGCTAGCAACATATTGTTTTAGAGAAATAAAAATGGCAGACCAAAGTAAAAAAGTAACAGACAACAAAAAAACTAATAATATACATGAAAAAGATCATGTCACATAAAAATTAGCTTTAAGAAAAACGTAACATGACACGCAAAGCCGCGGTTGCAAATCATAGTCGACAGACACACACACGCGACGCCATTTTGTTTACGTAACCTCTGCGGATAGTCTGCACCTTGACATTCATCCCAGATACCAACTACAAAGAAAGTGAGAATATCTTGGTATACTTAGAAGATTACGACTGAAATGTACAAGTTTTTTTTTTGTCTGTTTCTGAATGTTTATTTATTTCCTAACTAGCTTTCACCCGCGTCTTTACGCGCGTATAAAAGTTATGCATCCCGGGATTTTAAAAAACTCGCACATTTTTTTTTTTAAATAAAACTTTGCCCCACTCTAGGATTATTTCCTGTGTCGTGGGTGCGTTTACAAACATACAATGTTACATACACGTGACAACCAGACCCGGAACAACAATTTGTGGATTGTGGACACAAAGAGGTGTTCCATGCGGGAAAGGACCCGCGACAGGTTGCACGGCAGCCAGTTGCCCAGCCACCGCAACAACCGTGCAGACAAAAATTATTTTATATATAATTTTTTATACTGATTTATTTTTTCGTTAGAAATACCTTAAACATATAAAATGACTTCAAAATTTTAACATTTCAAATTTTAGCATTTCTAATAAAGTCAATTTTGTTATAAATTCTAAACTTACAAAGTCAATATATTATCCTTTAACAACCCCGTCCCAAGTATCAGTGTCTTTGACATCATAATGCAACATGGCGCTTATTGAAGCCGCCTGCGGGAAACGGTGCTCATTTCGCGCCAAAGACTTTGCCCGCGTCGTCCAATAGAATTCGAGAACTCACGCTTACAGAAATGTGGAAGAATATGACATCATTTACACCCGTCTCAACTTTAAAGTACGTGTACTTTTTATTCATGCGTTTTCCGGCTTGCCCACATTTATAAAATCTTGCTAAAATAAGATGAAATATTTTTTTCGCTTGAACTTTCTTTGAATGAATGTGGATACTGACGAAAAATAATCTAGGGTTAATATTTTGATTCTTTATAAATTATGGGTGCTTAGAACTTTATTTCTTTTACTTTTTCAAAACGTTGCCCTACCTTAGGACTTTCTCCTGTGTCGTAGGTGCGTTTACAAACATACAAATTACACCAACTGTTGTTCAGTGCGGGGATCGCACCCACGACACGTTGCACAGCAGCCAGTTACACCGCCACTGCGCCAACCATGCAGTCAAACCAACTCACTTTTATGTTTTGTTATCTTTAGCAAAGCTTATTTTTGTTTGGTTAAAACGCTGTATAATTGCTTTAATTTAAATACCAAATACGAAATCAGCCGGTAAGATAAGTAAGTTCGAAATTATTCCAATAATAAAACAGGTGAAAAGATTCTTTCCCCATTCCCTTAGGAATAGAAAGACGTATCACTTATTTGAAAGATCGAATAAAATTCTGAGAGAATTCGAGTTCTCGGTTCGAGATTTACAAATGTCGGAAAAGTCGTAGGAACGTGTCGGTTGTCAAATGGCAAGACACTCACGTCACGTCTCGTGTCTTCATCTGACGACAAGTCGTTTCTTTTCTTTTGTTTGAATAATAGACTGCTAGAGAAACAGTTTTCTTTAAGATTTCTTTAGTATGTATATACAGAATGTAGTATAAATCTCTTAATATCCATCATAAACGACAAAGTTAAATAAACAAAGGCTTTATAGTATTTTTTATAGAATAGGACTTACAAGCTTACGGATTACCTGATGGAAAGCAATCGGCGACACCAATGAACAACCGCAATACCAGAGGAGTTCCGAGTGCTTTGCCGGCCTTTTTGGAGGTAAGATTTGGAAATTAGCGATAAGCTGGTTAGAAAGATTGGGCCTCCCGTAAACTCATTCACACAGTTTTATAATAAAGTTACAAAACACTAAATTAGCTTACATTTGCAGCAAAATCGGTGTAAGGAATTATTAGTCCACTACTTCATTGACCCATAATAATTAGGCTAATATCAGATCACCACATCATCAGCCTATAAGTGCCCACTGTTGAGCAAAGGCCTCTTCTAAAACGGAGAAAGCTTGAGTATTAATCACCACGCTTGCTTAAGGAAGGTTAGCAATTTCAAACTTATAATTAACAATTTTAACAAATCGTGAGAAAACCTCACGATGTTTTCCTTCACCATATGTCAGTGACGTCTAAATAATAATAGAAAGTACATATAACTCAGAATAAGACACATTAGTACTTGCCAGGTTTCGTACTGGCATCCTCATGCATGAGATCCGGGCGCCTTAATCTCCAGGCTACCACGACGTTTATTATTAGGCTTATAGAAAGTCTGTATTATACGCCTTAGCCGTTTCATACACGTGCCAAGAAAATGAAGTAAAGGCAATGAAAATATAACATTAGAGAATCATTAGCTGTTCAAATAATGGTTGCTTTTGTAATATTAAATGTAAGAACCATTACTTATCTTTATCAGAAAATTATAGGTCTTTTGGTTCGACTTAATTTAGTAATGAAAACACAGCAATAATATTGATGAGGGGGATGTTTGTTATACAATAACGCAAAATTGCCAACTGTTATTTATTTTGGTTAAAGTTTTCGCTTTAAAGTGGTAGCAATAACTAATATAACCCATTTCATTTTTTTTATTATTTAATAGGTCGGCAAACAAGCATATGGATTACCTGATGGTAAGCAATCAGCGCCGCCCATGGACACCCGCAACGGATTTGTGGTTTTAGGGATTAAGGACGGATTGGGGGAGGGGAACGATTGGATCTCCGGTAACCTCACTCACACGGCGAAACACAACGCTGTGGTTGTTTCACGACGGTTTTCTGTGAGGCCGTGGTATCACCCCGATCGAGCCGACCCAATCGTGCCGAAGCATGGCTCTTCCACACTTAAAACATTTAGATTTAATTTGTCTTAAAGGCCTCTGCGCAGTTGACTTCGGCTTCTCTTACGCCTCCCAAAAACTAAACTTTTATAACACATAATTATATCATTCATATAGTCTTATATTGGTTATGAGTGTTTGAATTAAAAATCCAAAATTATGGAACACTAGCTTTTGCCCGCTACTCCGTTTGCGTGGAATAGTGACTTACTGCAGATTTTTTGTATAAAAACTCAGTTCGAACAGTTCCAAACTATGTATGTACCAAATTAAACAGAAATCGGTTCAGTAGTTTAGGTGTGAAGAAAAGAGAGACAGATAGATATACAAACAGAGGTACTTTCGCATTTATAATATTAGATTGGGTTTTAATCTATGGGGTTTTATATAAAAATACTCAGTCACATTAATACACATAGTCTTTCAAGTAACATATAGAAATAGAAATTACCTTACTAATTATATAACAGCTCAAACAGTTATTGTGGTCATAATGCCATGACATTGTGCATTGTCAATAACCACATTTTAATCCTTATTGCAAGCTATTAAAGATTAGTTTAATATATCCTCAACACTTTGGGCTCTCCTCTGTCAAACTACACCTTATATCATAGACCACAGTCTTCTTCGTTTCATTACTTACTTTTCTTTATGTGATAGGTCGGCAAACCAGCCGGCGGATTACCTGATGGTAAGCAATCAGCGCCGCCCATGGACACCCGCAACAATAGAGGAGTTACGAGGGCGTTGCCGACCTTTTGGGGGTTAGGGATTTGGGAGATTTAGGGAAAACAACGCTGGTAGTTTCACGCCGGTTTTCTGTGAGGCGCGGTATCACTCCGGTCCGAGCCGAACCATTTGTGCCGAAGCATGGCTTTCCCACACTTGCTAAACTTCACAATAATGGACTTTTTTTCTCATATTCGTTTATTACAACCACAGAGTAAAGATTAATCAGTTATGTTATTTAGTATTTGGTTTTGCCGTTGAATTCGAATTCACAGGGTGAACAGTTTTCTTCTTAACTTTAACAGCTTTTACTGTAGATGACAAATTTCCTTCTACATTGGCAGTTATTGTAGAAGCAGATTCACGATGAGTGGCTTCATTTTCACTTCGACGAGTATTATTGTTTTCAATATCTTCTTTTGGCTCATTGCCATTGTGAATGGTACAGTTTTTCTGACGAAGATCTAAGGAAAGTTTTTTTTTATTAATATTATTGTAAAATTTGAAATTTCTGAAATCTCTTATATATGAATTGAAATATAATACAAAAACAGAATCACAGTCAGTTAAATTACGATTTCCTGTGGTATAAGTGAAAGTTTTAAAATTCGCGGTTAAGCTAATTAACGAATGAAAATAAAAATGAAATTATTAAAGAAAATTACTATTACATTTTGTGTTCTTTGGTAAATGTCATATTACTCAATTGACAACATTTGATTTTAGATTTCTTGTTCTTTTCATTGTAATGTAGAACTTGTCAAGAAAAAATATCTTACAAACTTTCAGCTGTCAATTCAAATACAAAAACGACGTCAACCCTATCATTTTCACAGTCTGTCGAACATTTAAAAAAAGTATGAGAATTATTTTTAAATTAATTTTCCGTGAATTTGGAATCCTTTAAGTCTAAGTTCTACTACTAGATTCTACTTGAAGAACTTTGGAAAGTTGAGTTTGTTGAAGATTGTGATTGTTTTTAATTCTATTAGTGTATTCAAAAGCAATTACACGAATAGCAATAAGGTGACAGAGTCAGTAATAATTACTTAAATAAACGTATACCCATCACAGATAAAAAATCTACGACAAAGTCACATTTTTAATCCTTATTACGATGTAATATGGTGTTTTTTAGGAGTTAGTAAAGGTATTTTCTTCAAATAGATTAATGAAGTTTGTTATCAAGTAAAAATAATCTTACCGATGAATAAGTTGTTCAAGCCAGGTATATGAAAAGTCTCTCCAAGAGCCAGAGACATTTGAATCTTCCCTATATTTGAAATTCCATCAGCATCGAAACTAACTGATCCTTTACCTAAAATTACATTATTTTTGATTAAAGACTATTAAATAACTTTATTATTCCTCAATCGTTTTGTTTTTTTTTTATTTTACGTTGCCCTACATTAGGATTTTCTCCTGTGTCGTGGGTGCGGATACAAACATACAATTTCACTTACACATGACACCCAGACCCGGAACAACAGTATATGGATCACACAAAGAAGTGTTCCGTGTGGGAATCGAACCCGCGACACGTTGCACGGCAGCCAGTTGCCCAGCCACCGCACCAACCGTGCAGTCAGTCAGTCAGTTTTAAGATATAAATAGCGTCGACTGGTAAAAAATATATCTCAGCTTAGATAAGAAACGGACGTGATACTTCCTCTCATACTAGGCCGAAAGATGACATTTTATAACTTTCTTCCCTCGAAAGAAAAAGCTTAAATGTGTTTTTCCCTTATTTCTCAAATGTATTACTTTCATTGAGCATTTCTTTCGTATTAAAGTAAGAAATTGCCTCTTTGTTGTCATAATTGCTTATTACTTGCTAAAGATCATTTATCACTTATGTCTCAGTGTCCTTTATGGTCTGGAGAACAATATTAATTAGCCTTATAAGGTCTTTGATATCGATGACCTCGTCACTTCATTTCGCCTGATTTATAACAATTTTCTGGGTCACTAACCTTTAGCTGGCTAGTGACCTAACAAGCCAAAAATTTTAAGCCAAAACACACTGTAATTAAGCGTGTCAAGGTGATTTTTTGACATTATTACAGCGTGAGAAATTAGTATTCATCATCATCAGCCTATAAGTGCCCACTGCTGAGAAAATGCCTCTTCTCATACGGAGAAGGTTAGAGCATTAATCACCACGCTTGCTCAATGCGGGTTGTCGATTTCAAACTTATAATTAGAAATTATAAGTCCAGGTTTCCTCACGATGTTTACCTTCACCGTATGTCAGTGGTGTCTAAATAATCATAGAAAGTACATATAACTCGGAAAAAGTCACATTGGTACTTGTCAGAAATTATTATTGATTGGCATATATTTACATTTGTTTGCATAATACAAAATGATATGTGCTGACATTTTTTAATACCTACATCACTCTTTCTAATACATTATTATATTGAATATCAAATCTACAGTCAGGGCAATATTCAACCATCACATTTCATAATTACTAATTTTATTTTAAAATCAATAAGAATTTTCTTACAGAACTAAATTCTAATGCCGCGGTTTTACTTTCACCCAGAGACCACTTAAAAATCTGAATTGTTTGAACTTGTTTTTGCAGCGTCAATGAAAGGCGAGGGTTAGCAGCTAACTGATTTATTAAATAAGTATTACAATCTACCCGCCACCATACAAATATCCAAACTATAACTACGCCGACGGTACATATTTCTCCCCCTTAAGCTAGTCCTATGTATATCTACTTATATTTAAACACATTCCTACAAATGCAGACGTGCCCGATTATGAGCCCGCAGGGCACGAGCAGACGCTCCCGGCGGTGGTGATGGTGGTGAGGTTACCGGCTCTGGCGCCGCCTCAATATTAGACTTATGTGAATACTCACCGACCTCGTCAGAAGCGTCCTCGCATGTGTCTTCAGTCTCCGTACGGACCGAGGGGACCTCCGAGTTTGGTGACCCATCTTTACTAGCGGAAACAATGCTTGTTCGAGATAACGAGTGGCGATTCTTGTTATGTATAGGTATAATTTGATCCATGTGTCTACGCCAACAGTCTCCGCGTCCAACGTCTACCTTGTACGAGACCGGTCCCGTCTGTTCGACTATCGTGCCCTGTAGCCACTTACCTCCCCTCGTGCTATAGTCACGGGCTAGTACGGTGTCGGTAGGCGCCAGCGAACGTGACGTGCCGCCTGCAGCGGCTATTTGCCGCTCTTGTGCGCTGCGCACTACGGCCGACACATCTGGTCGCAACGCGTCGAGACGCCCGCGTAGCCTACGTCCTTGTAAAGCCACCGCAGGTGACACGCCCGTCGTTGCATGTTGGCAATTACGATATTTAAATAAAAATTTATCTAGGGCCGTGGCAACGTTCCTACCCTCGTACAAGGCACGTTTGATTGCTTTTTTTACAGTTTTAACAGCGTTTTCTGCTGCTCCATTTCCTTGTGGTCTATAAGGAGCCGTGGTCACATGTTTAACACAATTTTTTTTACAAAATGTATTAAATTCCTGCGAGGTAAATGGAGGTCCGTTATCAGTGACAAGTAATGACGGTAACCCGAAACGAGCAAAAATGCCTCTCATTGCTAAGATAGTTGCCTGCGCGTCCGTTTTTCGCATGGCAATAGCTTCTATCCACTTAGAGTAGGCGTCAACCATTATTAAATACCGCGTACCCCCACAATCCGCAAAGTCCGCATGTACGCGGTGCCACGGATGTAGTGGAAATTCCCACGGGTGAAGCGGTGCATGCGGCGGCGCGTCGCGCACCGCTCCGCACGCTGGGCACCCGCGGCATACATTCTCTATGTCCCTGTCTAAATTAGGCCAATACACATAATTTCGTGACAAATTTTTCATTTTGTTAACTCCCAGGTGTCCGTCGTGTATTTCCGCTAAAACCTGTTTCTGTAGTAATTTCGGAATAACAACCCTATATCTATAAACAAGACACCCTAGCTCTACAGATAAATCCTGTTTCCTTGCGGCAAATGGTTTCTCTGCCTCCGTCACTGTTAACGGCCAACCAAACGTAACGTAACCTTTTATTTTACATAACACTGAATCCTTTTCAGTCTCCCTAGCCACGTCTTTGAAACTTATAGGAAAAGATTCCTCTATCAAATTAACATAATTAACTGAATCCACCAGCCGGGCCTCCTGGGGTTGTGGTAACCGCGATAAAGCATCGGCCGGGCCATTGTCAGCCGAGCGAACGAATTCAACAGTGAACGCGTATGCGGCCAAGCGCGCCGCCCATCGCTGTAGCCGACTGGCCGCCGTCTGTGGGATGCCACCCTTAGCGCCAAATATGTGCGTCAGCGGCTGGTGATCTGTGCGTAATATAAAACTCCTACCGAACAAGTATTGATGGTGTTTTGTCACACCGAACAATATTGCGAGCGCTTCCTTATCCAGCTGACTATAATTGCGCTCCGCCGCGTTAAGCGTACGAGATACACAGCTAATCGGGCGCTCGCTGCCGTCCGAGTAGCGGTGTGCTAACACAGCGCCAAGTCCGTACGCGCTGCTGTCTACCGACAGTACGAGTGGCCGCCCCTCCTCGTAATGTGCTAACACTTGATCGCCCAGGAGAACACGCTTGGCTTCATTAAATGCTCGCTCACAACTTTGTGTCCATTTCCAGCGCACATCTTTCTTTAATAAATTGTGTAATGGGTGCAATAGCGTACTCAAATTACTAATAAATTTTCCATAATAATTTAACATACCCAAGAAACTTTTTAGTTGGGTTATATTTTCGGGCCTGGGTGCGTTGGATATGGCATCAAGTTTGCTAGTGTCGGGTCGCAAACCCTTTTTATCAATAATGTAACCTAAGTATTTGACACTCTCTTGTAAAAAACTACATTTACTTAGTTTCACAGTAAGTCCAGCCTCGCGCAACCTTTCGAGAACAGCTCGTAAATTACCAATGTGTTCTTTATCATTGCTACCCGTTACACAAATATCATCAAGAAAAACCACACAACCCGGAATGCCCCGTAGTGTTTCTTCCATCAACTTCTGAAACTTTTCGGGAATACAAGCTAAACCGTACGGCGTCCGACGGTACGCATATGTTCCGAGGTGAGTAGTTATGGCAGTAAAGGGTTGAGACTCTTTTGTTAAAATACACTGTTCGTAAGCATGGGTGAGATCGACTTTTGTAAATTTCTCTCCCCCACTTAATTTCGCAAATAATTCATCAATCCGGGGCAAAGGATAATAATCACGCTTAAGTTTAGGATTAATTGTAATCTTATAATCCCCACATATCCGTATGTCCCCATTTTTTTTTACAACCGGTACAATAGGTGTGCCATAATCTGAATAATCGACGCGATATATGGTCCCGTCAGACTCCAGCCGAGCCAACTCACGCTCAACGCGCGCGCGCATCGCTATAGGCACGGGCCTCGCACGAACGTAAACCGGTTCCTCATCGATCAGCTGTAGTTGAATGGCTCGCTTGCATGTACCTAACTTATCAGTAAACACTTCGGGATATTCCGCGCATAATCGGTTCACGAATCCATCGTCGGTTATTTTATGTAGATTAATTTGTGAGACCATAAGGGCACGCAACCAATCTCTTCCCAATAAGGGGCATGCTCCGTTTTTAATGACATAAAGAGGCAAAGATTTCACTTCTATATCTCGTAATCGTACTTGCACTTCAATATAACCGAGTGATTCGATGCGTGAACCGGAATAACTACGCAACATTAAATTATCCGGCTTAATCATCTTATGAGAAAATTGACGTTTATACGTTTCTTCATTGATAGCCGAAATACGACTACCGGTATCGATTTCACACTTAATTTCATAGCTATCTATGGTTACATTAATATAGTATGGTTTATTGTCCTTACTTCCCATCATAATAATCTTAAATATATCTCCCGAATCATCGTCACTCAAATAGTTTTGCCGACTGTCGACCCAATTTCCACTATTTTTCACTGACCTACACATCACTCTCAAATGACCTCTTTGTTTACACTCGTCACAAATATAATTCACATAACGGCACCTTTCCGCGCGATGCGCTCTCCCGCACCGCCAGCACGCGCCGGCGCCGGCCTGCGCCGCCGAGCCGCCGTTCGAAGGGCGCGCAGCGCCGTCCGTGCTGGCTGCGCGGCCCGTGCTCGCCGCGCCAGGTGCGCCCGCCGCGCTTGCCGTGTTACGGGCGCCACGAGTGCGCCCTCGCCTGCCACGTGTGTAATGCAGATCTTCGCCTGCCTCGCCGCCTGCACCTGAGGTCGCCGCCGGCACCGTACTGCCGCTCACCTCCGCGTGCTTCTCTGCAGCCTCTAGAGCTAGTGCTAACTCCACCGCCTCCTTGTATTCAATCTTTCTTTCGGCAAATATCCTTGAACGCATTGCGTCATTAGCTAGGCCCGACACAAACTGGTCCCTCAGATTTTCCTCCAGAGTAGAACACTGTTTACATTTGCCAAAATT